CTTCATTTTTATGTTTCATGAAGAATACCGTGCAATACCTAGAATAATCATCTATGAATTCGACAAAATATTTGTACTTCGAGTGAGATTCTACTCGCATGGGACCGCAAACATCAGTATGTACGATTTCTAGCATTTCCGATTCCCTGTCGGACTTCTTTGGGAATGGTGAACGCGTCATTTTTCCGCGTATGCAAATTTCGCAATTAAGTTCCCCATTATTAGGCATATTTTCAATATTTATTCCACCTAGTCTTCCTTTCTTCAATGAAGAATTCAAATCCTGAAAGTTCAAATGTCCTAATCTACGATGCCATAGTTTGACATTTTTAGAATTCATGGTCGAAATGAAAGCTGATTTATTCTGCGCTTCGCCTTCTCTCGCGTAGTATAAATCGCCACTACGATCGGCTACAACTTTTATATCACCATTACTATCATAGATCAAAGCATTTTCTTTCTTGAATAAAACTTCAAATCCTTTATCGGTAATCTTTGCAACAGAAAGTAAGTTTACTCTTAGGTCGGGAACATGAAAAGCTTTGTGGAGTGAGATGTTTTTCGTGTCGCCAAAAACGTCAGCAACAAACGTAGCTGTTCCGGAACCTGTAATGTCCCTAAATTCACTATTTGCTAAATTCAAATGATCATGTCTACGTTCAAGGTCAGAAAACAACTAATGTCTTTACATAAGTGAGACGTTGCGCCACTGTCTAGACACCATTTCAGTCTTTTGTGATTCTGTTCAACATGATAACATTCCGCGGTAACGAGTCCCACGTGTTCGGAACAGTTCGCTTCACTTTTGTAAGAATTGGCAACAGTCTTACCTTTGTCTGGACATTCAGCGGCCTTGTGGTCTACTTTTCGGCATCTGTGACACTTAACCTGAACGTTCTTCTGCCTTCCGAGACGCCGCTGCCTCGTGCACCTTCCGAGACGCCGCCCCCGTCCGCCATTTCCTGCGTGACCGTGATTTTTCCCATAATTCCGCTCAGGGTTACCAGATTGGGGGATTTTCCCCCAAATTTGGGGTATTTTTCATTGCTTGGGGGAATTTTTGGGGGTATGCAATGCGTGGGGGATTTTTTGGGGGAAAATTATTCCGTTTTGGGGTTTTTTGGGTGCGATTTTAAGAAGACATTCTGTCGTCCGACCAATTTTCAAGTTTCAATTGAATTATTGGAATTCGAGAACAACTTTGAATAAATATAAATTCATTTACAGATAATCCTGCCATCTTTCAACAACTATTAAAATTATTCTGAAGCACCTACATTACAGTTTCCTTCAATAGCGGCAAAATATTATTTTGTATTTGTGCGTTATTTGGCGCGATTAAATAAGTGTTTCTCATCTATGTGAAACCCAGAGAATCGTGTAACTTTATTTCCTTTCCTATCATTAACTTTATAGGCTATATTTCTTTTACTTTGGAGTGTTCAATACGCATGGTTTATCCAAATTAGTGTTGTACGTGTCAATCTAAATATGCCTAAAGAAAAGAAGTCGTTATATACCCGAAATACCGAGTTGCTTGGGAATCCGATGCTGAACTTAAAGGTAATCTATTGAAATTTTGATGGTGTGGGTTATTAATTATAATTATTCATTCCATATAGGATGGATTGGTCCTGTATTAGCAGATGAGACAAAGTCGCTTTGTAAGATATGTAAATGTACTTTAGCTGCACATAAAAAAGACTTACTGCTTCACGGTAAAAGTAAGAACATCAAGAGGCGGAGAAAAGATCTTTGGCTGGCCCGAGTAAAAAAATTACTGAGTTTATGAAAAAAGGTTTGACCGCCAGCAGGAAAATAGCAGAATTAAAAATTGCTGCATTCATATGTGAGCACTGCTCACTTGCAAATTGATCATCTTGGATCACTTTTAAAAAATTAGATAAATCATCTGAAATATTAAATGACGTTAAATTACACAGAACTAAATGTACATCTTTAATATTGAATGTGTTGGCTCCTTCAATACTAAATGACTTACTTTTGGATGTTGCAGATAGTAAATATTCATTGATTATAGATGAGCACTGCAGTCGATTCCACAAAAATGCTATGCGTTATGATAAATATTTTAGTAAAAAGCAAACTAAGATTGTTACGACTTTCTACAAACTTATCGAAATTGAAAAGGGAGATGCCATAACTATCTCGGCTGCGGTGACAAAACAACTGGAGCTAGACGGTTTAAAATTAGGCAATCTAATAGGAATCGGTGTTGATGGAGCCAATGTTATGGTTGGAGCGCATAATTCAGTAGCTTCTTTTTGAAAGCAAAGAATAATGAACTTGTTATTATTAAGTGCGTCTGTCATTCTCTGCATTTGGCAGCAGAGTATGCATTTAAACTTCTACCTCGTCATTTGGACTTTATAATCAAGGAATGCCACAATTGGTTCTCTTGTAGTACAAAAATTCAAATAGCATACAAACAAATATTTGAAACACTGACGGATCAAAAACCACTAAAAATTGACCAACTATCAGGAACCAGATGGCTAGCCAGATACAATGCGATAGTTAAAATTCTAGAACAATGGGATGCATTAAAAATACACTTTGGTATAGTAAAAGATAATGAAAGGTGTTATATGGCTGAACAGCTGTTTCAAATGTTATCGGACCAAACTAATGTATTATATTTCACCTTTTTGAGTTGGACATTGAAAGAAATAATTAGAGTTAATAACTGTTTCAGTCAGAGTGTGCAGATCCACTGAAATTAATGGAAGATTTGAATTTATTACTTTTCAATAACCTAAGTATTTTAGTACCACCTATGAAAATATAATATAAATAATAAATTTCAAAAAATAACGTCGTTGATTTCAAATTTGAAGATTACATTATGGATATAGAATTGATAAATTTAGGATATTCGTTCAATTCAAAAGCGTCATCCTTAGCAATTAAACAAGATGAACTACTAATGGTGCGAACTAGATGTAAAGATTTTTTAGTGGAATTATGTCGACAAATTCAAATGAGAATCCCTGAAAGTATGAATATTTTGGAGAAAATAAATTCATTTAACCCCGAATTAGCTACATCCAAGATACGTCAACCTGAAATAACTAATATTGCTTTATCTTTCTCAACAATATGTCCTGACCTTGATAGTACAATTGCAGAATGGAAATCACTTCCTCGAATAAATTGGATAAACCTGCATGATACAGAAAAGTTTTGGGTTGAGGTGGCAAATAACGTCGATGCAGCAGGGGAACCTAGATATAAAAATATTTCATCATTAGCTCTTGCGTTACTTAGCCTTCCATTTTCTAATGCTTCAGTTGAGAGAGCTTTTCCATTATAAAGTGGTAAAAAACATACTTAGAAATCGCTTGGCATTCATAGTACAGATGCTATCATGAGAGTTCGATGGTACCTGTGCAATTTAAAAAATGGTTGTACAGATTTTCAACCAACTGAAAATATGTTGCAATATTTCAATTTGAAAGAATGTATGATTGCAAAAAGGAGGAGGAAGAAGTTTTAAATGCATTCTCGGAGCTGTAGCATACTACTCGTATATTATGATAGTAAAAAAATATATATTTATGTTACTTGTTATTAGTTATTAGTGTTATTACCATAAATACCATACTCATAAGACAATCTTAGCCAACCTGCAAAGTATAATAATAATAATAAATACTTTGAAAGTTTTGGGAGATTTTTTTTAAAGATGTGCTTTTTGGGGGAATTTGTTATTTAGGCTGGGGGACTTATAGAAATAGGTCTGGCAACCCTGATTCCGCTTCACGAACATGGCGCCTTCCGTTTCTCGAACGTCGCCTTTCCGCGCAGTATACTCTTCTATAATTTTTATTCGAAGAATTTCCGGGGATGGTAATTCGTCTCTAGACTCAATTGCACACCTGAAGTTTTCAAAACTGGCTGGCAGGCTATACAATAGCATTATCGCTAATAGATCTGCATTGATTTCTACATCCATGTCATTTAACTTGTCAACTGCATCGAAAAATGAGTTTAAATGACATCGTATGTCCTGTCCCTCTTCCATACGTTGCAGTGTAAGCTGTTTGAGCAATGTGGCCTTTCTAGCGGGTCCTTTTGATTGGTAAATACCCTCCAACTTTTGCCACAGTTCCTTGGATGTATTACAGTTCTTTACCTGTTTGATTTCTGAGGGGCTTATTGACAAAATTATGTCCGACATCGCCTTGCTGTCACCTTTAGTCCAGGCTTCTACAGCTCTCGTGGATGCTTCGTCCCCATCATCTATCCGTGGCTGCTTTATCTCGCCAGATACATAACTCCAGTGATCGTTTCTTACCAGCAATGCCCTCATCTGTATTTTCCACGTGTCGTAGTTATCCCTGCTAAGCGAGTCTATACAGGATACTTTTGCCACACTCATGTTTGATAACACTAGTCACACACTTCCTATATTATCTTCAGCACTTGCAATAATTGTTCAATGTCCGTAGCACTGTTTCTGGGCACGTAACCTGTTGAGGATAGGTAAGCAGATCAATTCAACTCGCAGTGGTCTTCGGTTCAGAACAGTTTATTCAGTACTTGTACATGAATGGGTAGATAAGCTACAGGTGTAGACCGGGCTTCCGCGTTCCGCGATCCGCGCGCGTGTTCTGGCTGCTGTTGTACTTCGACTACTTCCCACGACTGACTCTCACTACTGACTGCATTCCGAGGTGCGGCGCGCGGGGACAGGACGGCGGTTACAAGCTTCTAGGTTAGGCAACCTGTCTGGTCGTCTCGCCAGTAGCGGCGCGGCGGGGTGACGCTAGTACGCGTTCCAACAATTATAATTACAATTATTATTATTATTAAATTATTATTATTGTTATTATTATAATTATTATTATTATTACTATTAATATTTATGATTATATATTATACATTATTATTATTATATATAATTATATTATTAATTATATTATTATTATATTATATTATTATAATTATATATTATTATTATATTATTATTATATATATATTATTATTATTGTTATTATTATTATATTATATATTATATATATTCTTATATATTATATATTATTATTATTATTATTATTATAATATATATTATATTATTTTATTATTATTATTATTATATTATATTATATTATTTATTATATATTATTATTTATTATTATATTATTTTTTTTTTTTTTTTCCCACAGCGGCATCGACTTCTAGGTCATTAGCCGCTTCCCTCCTGCCTCATTAGGTCATTTTTTTTTTTTTTTTCCAAACCTAACATCTCAGGGGTAGATCTGAGATGGAAATAGAAAGACACAGGACAAACATATATGGTATAAATAACAGTAAGTATAGTATACAGACAAGTTCAATATTTACTCCGCATGTGACTGAGAATCTTTAATAGCTAAGCTGCCTCTTCAGTTATCTAATGATGTGACATCCACGTGTATACCATTTTATTTTTCAGAGCTGTCCAGTATGATACAAGGATAATAAGGTAAGACCAGATAGGTATGGGATGTAGGTGAGAATGCGTCGTAAAATGTTGATGTGGAAGTGGCTGGAGGCGTAACGAAATAGGAGTATCTATATCTTGGTGTATGTATCCGAGCGCAGCAGGAAATCCATAACTTTTGGCCATTCCGTTTTGAGCAGGGTTTGTATATTGGAAGACATCTGTAGTTCCCTGCGGAGATCACTGTAGAGTCGACATTCCACCAGAATGTGTTGAACAGTGAGGTCTGTTTGACATGCTAGACATTGTGGTCTGTGATCGCCGGCCAACAGGTACGCATGGGTCAACTTACAATGGCCAATTCGTAGTCGGCATAAGACTGTCTGCTGCCGACGATTCAGTTGCTTCGGATAAGTCCATTTTTCGATACTTGTTGGACGGATCTCATGTGTCCGTCATATAGGTCCCATTTGTGCTGCCATGCTTGTTTTGTGTGTCTTTTAAGTGTTTTACATAGTCAGATAGCGGAGTAGGAATGCCTTCATCCGGTGGCATGGTGGCTGCTTGCTTTGCCGCTGCATCAGCCAATTCATTGCCGATAATATTCACATGACTAGGTACCCATATGAAACGGACTTTTTTATGGTCATTTTCTAGTGAGCTGGTTAAGTTCAAGATTCGACTTATTCTTTCATCCTTGGTGAAGTTATTTCCTATGGAGCTGATCACACTCAGAGAGTCTGATACTATCGAACACGCTAAGCTAGATGACAATGCAAAGAATAGAAGTGCCTGCCAGATGGCATAACATTCTGCAGTGAAAATACTTGAAATCGGATCCAGGCTCCACATGTGGCAAACACTGTTAACTACTATTGATGCTCCCACTCCGGTACTGCTCTTAGATCCATCCGAGTATATGAAGAGATGATCGTGGAGGTGATCTGTAATTTGTTTGAAACGAGCGAGATACACCTGGGGTGCTGTCTCATTTTTAAGAAATACAGAAAGGCGAATATCAATATGTGGCTTTGACCTAGTCCAAGGTGGAGTGTCGTATGGGGCTCTCTGCAGCACATCCCTTATTGATATGTTGTTCGCTTGTTGGAATTCAAGGCTACGGATTCTGGCTGGACGTGTATACGTTGGACGATTTGTATGTTCGTTATCGCTTTCCAATATACTCAGATTAATATGTCTGGTAAGAGATTTTATTTTAGTCATATAGATGGCAGTTTGCATTTCACCTCTTAATTGTAAGGGTATTGCTGCAGCATCACAGAGGACGGCACTTGAAGGACTCGTACGAAAAGCCCCTGTAGCCGCTCTTAGGGCTGCCAGTTGAATCCTTTCAAGTGCCTTGATCTTGGATGGTCTTGCAGAATTGTAAACAACTCTGGCATAGTCAATTCGAGACTCGATTAGGCTCTTGTAAACCTTTATGAGAGCTTCGCGGTCTGAACCCCATCGGGTATTTCCTATGCATTTGATCAGGTTGACGGATTTTCTACAACGAGTTGTGAGATGTTCAATTTGATCCTTCCAGTAGAGCTTGTGGTCAAAAATAATGCCCAGGAACTTAACAGAGTTTTCAGCTTTTATAGTTTGTCCTCTCAGTGTGAGAGAGACCTGCGGATGTGCTGTGCGAAGTCTGCAAAAATGGATGCACGTCGATTTTGTTGCTGAAAAGGAATACCCTCTATCCCTTGCTATACAGTCTAGTCTGTTTATTTCATCCTGCAGATGGTCAAAGTTTCCATCAAGTGCGGCGGTGGAGAATATGCAGAGATCGTCTACATATAAGAGGGGT